TGGCCAGCCTGGGTGAGGGACTGAGGGCCGTTTTCAGGCTGGCCATGCCCCCAGCAGGGACCCTCACCCCGATGGTGGCGTGGCCAGCCTGGGTGAGGGACTGAGGGCCGTTTTCAGGCTGGCCATGCCCCCAGCAGGGACCCTCACCCCGATGGTGGCGTGGCCAGCCTGGGTGAGGGACTGAGGGCCGTTTTCAGGCTGGCCATGCCCCCAGCAGGGACCCTCACCCCGATGGTGGCGTGGCCAGCCTGGGTGAGGGACTGAGGGCCGTTTTCAGGCTGGCCATGCCCCCAGCAGGGACCCTCACCCCGATGGTGGCGTGGCCAGCCTGGGTGAGGGACTGAGGGCCGTTTTCAGGCTGGCCATGCCCCCAGCAGGGACCCTCACCCCGATGGTGGCGTGGCCAGCCTGGGTGAGGGACTGAGGGCCGTTTTCAGGCTGGCCATGCCCCCAGCAGGGACCCTCACCCCGATGGTGGCGTGGCCAGCCTGGGTGAGGGGCTGACGGCCGTTTGCAGGCCCCTCCCTCAGTGGCCGCCTGGGCAACCCAGGCCTCCCGCTTGCTCCGTGGCCGCTGCCCACAGGCCCCTCCTTTGGCCAGAGGCCCAGGTGGACAGGAAGCTTGGCTTCCTCCGTCGCCGGGGGCGACCCAAGCCTCCCGCCTGCTCCAGCTGGCTCAGTGGCCACTGCCATTTTGTCCTGCTAATTTGCATATTCCCTCCTGATTGGCTGTGGGGTGTCGCAGAGGTACAGTCAATTTACATATTTGTCTATTATTATACTGTATTCTTACAATAAAGTGAGCTAGAGAAAATAAAAATGTTATTAAGAAAATCATGTAGCCCAGCCAGTGTGGCTCAGTGGTTGAGCATCGACCTATGAACCAGGAGGTCACAGTTCGAGTCCTAGTCAGGGCACATGCCCAGTGTGGGGCATGCAGAAGGCAGCCAATCAGTGATTCTCATCATTGATGTTTCCATCTCTCTTCCCCTCTCCCTTCCTCTCTGAAATTAATCAAGAAAAAATTTTTTAAAGAAAATCATACAGGTCATCTGCCAAGGCAAGTTCAAATTGTCACAAACCTCCAAAAAAATGTCCCAGTATATTTATTGGAAAAATAAATTCACGTATGAGAAGATCCACACAGTTCTCAAACCATGTTGTTCGGGGGTCAACTGTATTTATTTATGGCTGGGATTCAGACTTGAGGCAGCAGGTCCAGTATATCATTCCACTTCATCCTCCCCACCCATTTTGCAGATGAAGAAGCTGAGGCCACAGCAAGTGACGGAGCTGAGATTTGAACTTGTTTGTGCCTGAGTCCAAAGTCCATACTGCCCTTCCTCCCCTCCCAGCTGGACACTCACCTCAGCATGTTGAGTTTCTTATTTGGGCTGTTAAGTCTCTTCCCTAATGGAACTAAGATCCAATGGCAGGTTGGGAAGAGAACCAGGTGTCCCTTCTTTTGAAGCACTCCACAGAGCAGGGCTCTCAGGCTGGCTGGACATCAGCAGTCTTTGGGTCAGAAGGTCTGGCTCGCCCAGAGTAGAGTGTGTCCCGTGATGTGACGGGTACGCCTGAACCCTCCAACACATGGAACTCAACCTCCTCAAGAACTACAGCCCCTTGACCTGAGAACGTCTCGGACCCCCATCTTGGTAGTAGCCCTTGATTTGGAATATGCATCCACTTTGGAGGCAGATCCAGACTTCCATGTGTGCGATGAGGAGGTAGGGACTGTACTACTTCCCCGAGGGGTGCTACCCCACAGAGACAGCAGGTCAGGGTCACCAGATAGATGTGGCCTCGAGGCCGAAGGAGATGCCCAGTGACTTACAGCCCAGTGGCTGAGTAAATGCAGAAGTGGCAAGTTTAGGAGAAAGAAGTTCCCTTTTGGATTTGTTGTGGCACCTTAGGGGCTCCCAGGTCTGGGAGGCAACTGGAAATAGAACCTGGAGTTGGGCAAGTGGGTGGTGTTAAAAGTTGTGGTGAGGGTGACGGAGTTGGGGGAGGGGAGGACCACGTGGGACAAAGAAGGGACAGGGCAGGGGGCTGAGAAGGGACCCTTAGAGCAGCGGTTCTCAACCGGTGGGTCGCGACCCCTTTGGGGGTTGAACAACCCTTTCACAGGGGTCACCTAAGACCATTGGAAAACACATATAAACAAGAGCACAGAAACCCAAAGAGCAATACCAAACATTACAGAAAGGTCAAGTTCAGATGAGCCTGGAAACTGGCTACTAAGACCTTGGTTGGGGAGAACTGTGGAGCTGTCGTGAGAACATAGATGGAAGAACATGAGAGGGAGGCAAAGATGCCAAAACAACACAGACTCCCCAGACCCTGAGCCAGCAAAGGGACTAAGGCATGGGATCATGGTGGCGATGGACATGACTCTAAGATGGCATGATGGAACGTGCTGCGAGCTACAAGAATGGGACCTGAGCAGAAGGCAGAGGGCAGCCTGGTCAGCAGGTCCTCTGTGGAGACAAAGGCTCTGGGACACATGCTCACACCCGGATCAGAACTTTGGGAAGGGCCAGAGCGTAATAGGCTCTGCCAGTCTGTCTCGACAGGAAAGCCACCATAGGCAATGAATGATGGGAGGAAGAGAGGAGTAGAAATGTTGGGGTTAGGATCTGGGTCAATGGAGGGACGTGGGCTGAGGGGAAGGGGCAACGGGCATGGGGTATTGTGTAGTGGGGTGCAGGTTGAGAGGTAGGGAGAATAGGCTGTGTCAGAAAGTGGGTGATAGGGGGTTACAATTTGAGGACGTTATCTGTGGAGCAAAACCTGTACTCTGAGATTTTTCTCCTATAGACACGTGCAAATATGTAAACATAGGTGTGTCACCCTTTTTACAGTAAGAATCACTGATTTTTTCCCTATTGGGACCAGTCAACATTCAGTTTAATAGAAAAATGTCCATAGTAAGAACGTGGCAACAGGTTGTCTAAGTGGTTTGGGACATTTTTCTCGTATTAGCCTGTGCTGTACGTGTGTACATGCACATGTGTTTGTGTATATGTATGGTTTCTATATGTGTTTGTGTGTACATATGTGTGCATTCATATATATGCATTGTGTTGTGTGCACACGTTTGTGTGTGCATCCATGAGCATGTGTGTATGTGTGTTTGTGTGTATATGTGTGAGTGTACAACACTTTCTTTGCCCACTTTCTCAGCACAAAGCGGCTGACGGTTGGTCTCCCACACAGCACCCAGTTCCCATTCCTTTTGATGTGATGAACTTTGGGGTACCTGCCCCCAACCTGGGGAGAATTTTCGTTTCCTGGACACCAAGTCTTGTGGTGTTTTAGTTTTTACTAATTAGAGCTGGTATCAGAAGCCTGCCTAAAACATTTGCTGGGTGAAATGTCAGTGAAGGTTTTTTAATTCCCATTTTCCCCTGAATACATGGCATTGTCACTTGCACTAAAATCAGATCCCATTTAAGATGAGGTAGCCAGACCTGAGCTCGGACAGTTTACATTAGTAGTTGAATGTGCTTTAAGAGGGAAGTAAGAGAGTGTTCCCATTAGGACAGGAGGACAGGCAACTGTCCCATGTGACAGAGGATGACAGCCTATGACTTCAGGAGCCGACAGGGGCCTGCCTCCTGCCCCAAGCCCAGTTTCCAGAGCTTGGGCCTGGTCCTCTGCTGGAAAAAGAGGGAAAGTTTGGCTGCTGAGAAGAAAACAGGAACAGATGCCCAGTTCTTACCAAAAGAAAAAGGAATTTGAACTCTGAAGATACTTTATTCCAGAGAAACTCAGGGCCAGCTCTGATCCCTCAAAGTCCACTGCAAAAGAAAAAAGTTAAGACTTGCCAGAGGAATGACAGGATGCCCCAAAAGTTTAGGCAAAGGACTAATGGATTGCCCTTGCTGGGAGTTGGAATTGGATTCTCTTGGAAATGGTGGGGAGCCTCTAAAAGGTCCCTCGTTTTCCCCCCTCTAATTGCACACTCATTGTCTGACAGATTGTAACAATTTCATGTCCAGGTCACTATAGACCCCTCTTTGTTATTCTTAACCTGTCAACAAGTTCATTTCACTCAAGTGACATTTATCCAGCTCATTTCTCATGTTTGTTTAAATGTCGCATGTTCATTCGCATTTCACTCAAGTGACATTTATCCAGCTCATTTCTCAGACGTCGCATGTTTGTTTAAATGTTGCATATTCATTCAGGGCAATCCTGCCCTCCAGGCGACATTGGCAGTGTCTAGAGAGTCAGGGTGGGCAGGGGGTGCTCCCAGAGACCAGGGATGCCTCTCAGCACCCCACACTGCCCAGGACAGAGAATGTCCACCTGAGACGCCTGCATTAGTGTCTGCTGGGTCTGCTGGGCCAAGTGCGAGAAAGGACATGGTTTCTGCCATCATGGACTGTGAAAGCATCCACTTTTCGGCAAAGAGAGATGGAAACTTAGTTCCTCAAACGTGGGAATCTCCTCTTGGTGCCTAGAACTGAGCAGGGCTACGGTGAGGGCTGGCAGGGGCTTCCCGCAATCGGGGACAGTTAAGACAGAACCTAAACCACTCAGTACTTGCTCCTTAGACCCGGACTCAGATTGAAGGGGGGGTGCAAGAGAGGGTATGGACCTGATTTTTCTGGTCACTGTAAGCACACTGGGAATATCAGTACAAGTGTCACGAGACCCGGGTTTGAAAGAACTCCTGAGAGTGTCCTGGACTTGTTGCTTCTTGGTCATAAGAAATTAATTGCCTTTTGGGGGGAAAATGAACCCTGGTGCCATCCAGATGCCGCCAAGCAACAGGAGAGCAGGAACTGATGGCCTGAGGAGACCTGTGTCTCTCCCCAAAGTAAAAGTAAAAGGCTGTGTGGCTCTCCAAAGGGGAAGTTAATTAGCCAATCAGAAGGAAGGGAACTAAAAAACGCTTGTGTGCTCTTCTCTAATTACCCAAAGATGACCAATGTTTTCTAAATATCTGTCAGGCAGGTGGTTCCTCCGCTTGGCATATGAAAGAACGAATGAAAGGAGATTGCTTCAGGTCCTGGTGAGTCAGTGTCAGGCCAGGAGCGGGCGCAGAGATTGCCCTCAGCATTTCCTGCATTTCCTTTCCTGTCATTACTGGTTACTAGGTAACCAGAGTATTTTCCTGTAAACAGAAGTCTCTTTCCTTTGTGCCCAGGCAGATTCATTCATGGAGGCCGCAACCCAGGGCTGCTGACCATGGGTCTGCCATGCCCCCTCACATACCTCAGCACATGTCCTCACTGGTGGGTGTTGTTGGCAGCATCTCCAAAAAGTCAGATGTGCCTTCTAGACGCTGGTGCCCGCCCAGGAGAGGAAGCTACAGCAATGAGGCTGTGCTTTCCCACTTATTTCTCCAGTCTGCTCTTATCTTGGACCAGATGACAAATGAAAAGTGCTCGGCTTATAAACAACACACCAGGTGTGTTTCTGAGCAACCAGGAGCTTTGGGCCTACCTGGCCAGGCTGGGTCGTGTTTGAGGCCCCTCTCCATTGTGTTGGTCCACCTAAGGCCTCTGGACCCCAGTCTAGAGGGGCCACCGATGAAGGGAATCAGAGAAAGAATGCTTGGGTTCCTGCCTTGGGAAGAAAAACAGGAGAGAGGACAAATGAATGTAACAGAGACAGACTGAATGGCTCCCAGTTCTTATCGCAAGTTTAAGTTCAGAACAGAAGCACAGGCATGCATTCATATCTATGAGACTGTTTTAGGGTGACCTTGATCACCAAGGAGTCTGACCCTGCTGAGTGGGAACAGGGGATTCTCAAACTTCATGTTGAATGTGGCCAATTGGTGCCCTTGTCACCTCCCTTCCCCTGCTGCTTCATGTTCTACCAGGTGGAGTCACTCCAGCCTCACACCTTCTGGAAGGACCGCTGGAACTACTGCTCTTCAAGGGCTGCTAGCATGGCAAACCAGCAACAAAACATTCTTGCATTGACCTGGCCTAATGGCTCAGTTGGTTGGAACGTCATCCAGTACATCAAAAGGTTGTGACTTAGATTCCCAATCAGAGCACATACCTAGCATGTGGGAAGGCCACCCATCAATGTTTCTCTCTCTCTCTCTCTCTCTCTCTCTCATTTTAGCAGTTTAATATCACCTCAACTCTCTCTCTCTCTCTCTCACACACACACACACATTTTAGCAGTTTAATATCACCTCAGTTGGCTTTCTTTTTATTTATTCTTCTTAGGGTTCACTGAGCCTCTTGTAATTGTAAGTTGATGCCTTTCACCAAATTTAAGTGATGTTTAGTCACTCTTTAAATATATCTCTTCTCTCTCTCTCATTCTCTCCTTTTCTTCTGGCACTCCAATTACATGTACATTAGACTTCTTATTTCTCTTTATTTTTCCCCCCTCAGTTCTTTTGATTGGGTAAATTCTATTGATCTATCTTTAAGTTCACTGACTTTTCCTTCTGCCATCTCTGATAATCAGCTGTTAAACATATCCAGAGAAATTTCCATTTCAGTGAAATTTCTTTTCAGCTCCAGAATTCCTTTTTGTTTTTTTGTTTTTTTGTTAATCCTCACCAGAGGATATTTTTCCATTGGTTTTTAGAGAGAGTGGAAGGGAGGGGAAGAGACAGAGAGAAACATAAATGTGAGAGAGACATCGATTGGTTGCCTCCTGCATGTGCCCCGACCAGGGCCGGGGATCAAGCCTGCAACCGAGGTATATACCCTTGACTGGAACCGAACCCAGGACCCTTTAGTCTGCTGGCCGACGCTCTGTCTACTGAGCCAATCTGGCTAGGGCTCCAGAATTTCTGTTGGGTTCTTTTTTATAGTTTCTCTTCCTTTGTTGAAATTCCCACATGTTCATTCATTGTACTTATAATTTCCTTTAAGTTCCTGAGCATATTTTTAGTAGCTGCTTTATCTGCATCACTTGGATTGGTTTTCTTATAATTGACTCCTTTTTTTTCTCCTTGAGGATGGATGACAGTATCCTATTTCTTCTTACAGCAACAGTTTTTATTGGGTCATGGACATCATGAAAAATATGTTGTATTATCTCTGGATTCTGCCATGTTCCCCTGGTAGCATTTAACTTGGCTGGGCTCAAACTCTGTCACTCCTGCAGTGGGCAACAGCTGAAATCTTTTCTTAGTGTGTTTTTTTTTTCATCTTCAAGCTGCTGTTTTTTTCTCCAAGGTCCCTGGTGTCTCCCACACACATGTGTGGTTTAAAGATTTGGGTGTGCTCTGGCCGGTGTGGCTCAGTTGTTTGGGTGTCATCCCATGCACTGAAAGGTCACTGGTTCAATCCCCGGTCGGGGCACATGTTGGAGGCAACCAATCAGTGTTTCTCTTTTGCATCAACATTTCTCTCTCTCTCTCTCTCAAATCCATAAAAACATATCCTGGGGTGAGGATAAAAAGAAAGAAAAGATGTGGGGGCCTCTGTAGTTGCATCTGGGGGCTCGTCCCCTCTGTGCCTCTCTCTCTTCCAGGATTCCCTCCCAACATTCTGAATTTCTCCTCTGACGCTTCAACACAATAAGCTGCTGCTTTCTGCTACCCTAGCATTTGCGGATTTGGTTGGCCCCCAGGGCCAAAAGCCAGAGTTGCTGATCTGACCTTGTGACAGTGGTATTTCAGGGGTGAACTACCGGCAGTGTCTGCCTGCTTTGGTCACCTTCCAGTGACTTTATTTTTTAATTTAAATTCTTTATTGTTGAAAATATTACTTATGTCTCCTTTTTCCCCATTGACTTCTCCCTGCCTGCTTCCACCCCGCAGCATAGCCAGTGACTTTAAATAGTTCTTTTTTCAAAAATATTTTGCCCATATTTTATCATTGTTATCTGTAGGAGGGGTAGTCCAACCAATCTGCCCCACCATTACAGCGCTCTCTTGCATGTCTTTTAAAAACCTTTTTTTAAAATCCTAAACTTTGATGCGCTAAGATCCTTTGATGAATGAACCCCATTTTTTTTTTTATTTCAGAATACTGGATCAGCTTATGTGCAACCTACAACATTATCTCCGGTAGGTAAGGAAGGATTCCATGTTCTCTGCAGACTGGCGTGTTGTGTGTTAATATATCGGAGCAGCCAAGCTGGCTCACACAGTGTCTGTCAGTCTGTGTGTCTGACACTAGCATCAAGGGAGGTGTTCAGGGAGAGTAGAGCAGTCAGTCTCCAAAGGTCACTACATTTCCCAAAATAGTCCCAGACATCCTAAAAGTAGATTTAAAATTTTCTGAAGCCTTTATGAACTTATTTATATTTCCCACCTGTACTGCCTTTTGAAATCTGAATCTATGTATTATTATCTGTCTTATAAAGTACTGTCATAGATTCTCACAGTCTCACTAGCTAGTTTTATATAATTCAATATCAGATGTAATACTGGGGAGTTACTAAAGTGTTCACTCATTTGATCATTATGTATCAACTGCCTGAGTTGTGCATGACACTGAAGCACTACACCAAAACTATCTTGTGGTATGCCCTGGTCCCTACTGGTTCCTTGGGCTCCTCATCTTATGGACCCCTATTTGAGTTGGGGTGTATGGGTAACACAAACTGGGTGGCTTGAAACATCAGAAATTTATCCTTTTGTAGTTCCAGAGACTAGAAAGTGTTGGCAGGGTCATGATCCCTTTAGGGGAGGATCCTTCCTGCCGCTTCCAGCTTTGGGTGGCTCCCAGCAATCCTAGTTGTCTCTTGGCTGGTAGCTACATCACTCCAATCTCTGCCTCTGTCTTCACGCGGCCTTTTCCCTGTGTGTCCTTTCTGTCTGTCATAAGAACTCTGTCATTTGATTTAGGGCCCACCCTAATCCAGTATGGTCTCATCTCAATCCTTACCTTGATTATATCTGCAAAGACACTATTTCTAAATAAAATCATATTCTGAGATTCCAGGTGGACATGAATTTGAGGAGACACTATTCAATGCACTACAACTCCCCAAAGTTATCTGTCCATTGTGCCCAAACTCCTGTCTTAAGTTTTAAGGGCTGCAACTGGCTTCTAGGGTTCCATGGTTTGGTGAATCAACGTGACTTCATAAGCTTTAGAGCACCATTGTTGTCATTTCAGACCAGTGTTTGATATTTCCATTTGTCTTTAAATGTTAGCAGCTCCACCCTCCTAACAATCTGAGTGGCCCTCTGCAGCCGCCTCCAGCCCTGCCCTGTTGGTGAGATATGGCCACAAGAACTATGCACTAGATCAGTGATGGCGAACCTATGACACGCGTGTCAGAGGTGACACGCGAACTCATTTTTTTGGTTGATTTTTCTTTGTTAAATGGCATTTAAATATATAAAATAAATATCAAAAATATAAGTCTTTGTTTTACTATGGTTGTAAATATCAAAAAATTTCTATATGTGACACGGCACCAGAGTTAAGTTAGGGTTTTTCAAAATGCTGACACACCAAGCTCAAAAGGTTCGCCATCACTGCACTAGATCAAGGGCCTGTGGACCTCCAGGTTTTGAATCAAGACAGTGTGATTTTTCTACCCATCTTCCAAAACCACATCACTTTATCAAACCCAGATTATGTGGACCGAGCACCAGCAACCTTTGCCCATTGCCTGTATTTGGAAATAAAGTTTTATTAGAATACAGCCAAGATCATTTATTTACATGTCAGCAAAGGCTGCTGTTGTGCCATGATGGCAATGTCTCGTAGTTGCCGCAGAGACTAAATGACCAAAATGTCTCTGGTCCTTTACAGCGAAAGTGTGCTGATCCTCGTCTAAACAATATAAGCTGAACAATGCAATCAACTCAGACAGTGCATAGTAAATAGTGTGCTAAACCAGGGAACACGTTAGCATGAAAACTCCACATGATATGGAATAACTTGTTTTCTGGAAAGTGTATTCTGGCCACAGTAAGCTGAGCATGGACTCACTGTCCATCCCCAACGCTCTCACACCTCTCCTTGCTTCACTAAGGCTTAGACTTTGGAATAAAATTATTTCTGCCTCTGGAACAAAGAAGTGATCTCAGTGAAGTCAGCTTTCTCACTTTGTTGCTAGTAGATTCTTTTCACAAAGAGTTCTAGTCCACTTATCTCCTCCTGGTGTCACTGAAGTTATCCACTTCTTGGCTTTAAATGGGAACAAAGTGGTATATAGAGTGTAAATGACTGATTTAAGTGTTAGGGAAAACTGTAAATAAGAGACCTCGGTTAAGCAATTTCCAACAGAATATTCCAAAGGTCAGTTCTGTCAAGAAGGCAGAGAGAGTTGGAAACACAGGACTGGAAAGCCACAGTCTTCTCTGAAAAAGGCAAATTAAGGAGGAGGTGCCAGTCACCATGGCGTGCTGGGGACATCTAGTGTTGAGAACTGAGTCAGGCTCACAGGAAACAAAGATGCCACAGACACAGACCACAGATCTATGCAGTGGCTCTCATGGTACCAAAGGCTTGTGGACAGGGGACTAGAGAAAGTCATGGAATAATCCGTCAATAAAGATGAGATTAAACTAACACATTTGGATTCAAACCCACACATATCCCTTTCTACTTCCCTTCGGCAAGTTATTTTATTGTTACCAGTTGTTTTCTGCACTAAAAAAAAAAAAAGGCTTTGAAAAAAATTTTTTATTCATTCTTGCAGCTGGGAACTCTTGGGGTGATAGAGAAACATGAAAGTTCTGGCACTATATCCTGGGCACTGTGATGTGTGCTGTGCCATTCAGGCCTGCATATGAGGCAGAAGCCAGGAGACTCCACTCTTAGGAGTGGCATGCTCAGAAATGGGGCAGGACAGGATAGGGACTGCAGAGCCACCTCCTCTCTCTGCAGTTTGTGTATTTCACTGCCTCTCAAATGCTTAAGGTAGCCAGTAGTTTATTTAAAATTGAAGACAGTTTGACTTTCTGCATTTTATAGAATGGTTTTGTATCATTTGCCACTTTGTTCTGATATTGAGTCTTTTTGTAGAGAATTTTAAATTACCTATTTGAAAGACGTATGCATCTGGCTACAAAGAAATACATTCTTATGCTTTCTTGTGGGCAAAGATCTCTAGGTACAGAGGGCAATTTTGACTTACTGCTGACATTCCTGAGGACTTGTACCCAGCCCAGCACAGTGTTTCTTAACTGTCACTGTACCTCACCTTTTTTCTCCCTAGGTCAGTGGTTCTCAACTGGGAGACAGTTTTGCCCCCAGGGGACACTGGATAATGTCTGGAGACATTCTTGATTGTCGCCACCTGAGGAGGGGGTGCTTCTGGCATCTAGCGGGTGGGGGTCAGGGATGCTACTCAACACCCCTCAGTGCCCAGGAGCCCCCCAGACAGTGATCCAGCCCCAGTGTCATAGGGCCAAGGGGAGAGACGCTGCCTGAGGAGATCATTTGCCAAGCTCCCCAAACAGAAAGCACCCACCAGGGGCTTTGGCTTGCTGGGTACATGAGTATAGTTCCATGAGTCCTGAAAATAGTTCACCCTGATCAGCCTGGAACAGGGACAAACAGTGACCACTGTCCCCGCATGCCTCTAAGGAACTCCTACAGGGCTACTTTTTGGTTTAATATTTGGAAGAACAGTCCCTGCCCCCTCCCCCCTCCCTTTCTTTGGAACAATTATGCAACCTATTCCCCGTTCTTTACCCAGCCTGGCCGGATCGCTGCTCTGAACCTGGAAGGCTATCGGGAACTCCCGCTCGCCTGTCCTGTCTGCATCTGCAGTTGCCTCTGTGGGCCTCATGACTGCAGCCCTGCCCGCTCACCCTCTCTCCGCCTCTCTTCAGAACTGAGCATGCAGAGTTCAGAGGGTGCAGCGGACTCACCAGCTTCTGTGACTCTGTGTTCGTCAGCGGCCGCCCAGGCGCCTGTGGCCCAGCCAGTGCCAGCCTCCCCGCAGGTAACAGACCAGCCCGGGAAGATCAGTGTGGCCAGTGTGGTTGCATCCACTGTGGTTTTGAAAAGCACTTGACTCAGCAGGGAGGAATCTGTGTTCTCCTGAATTGCCTTCTCAGCCCCAAGGTTAGAGCTGTTGAAATAGCTGCACCTTCTCTGTCTCCCCCACCAAATCTGACTTAGTTTGTTCTTCTCTTTTAAGGGAAGTTTTCTTCTACCTTGGGAATGACCTTTTTACACAGAAAGACTTTATGGGTAAGGCAAATGATAAGTGAAAATTCTCAGTATTGGTTCACAATTGAATCTAGCATTAGAATGGATATATTTAAAACTAGAGGCCCGGTGCACAAATTTTGCACCATTGGGGTCTCTTGGCCTAGCCTGCGGATTGGGCCGAAACCGGCTCTCTGACATCCCCCAAGGGGTCCTGGATTGTGAGAGGGTGCAGGCCAGGCCAAGGGACCCCACCAGTGCATGATTGGGGCCAGCAGGGAGGGACCACAGGAGGGCTTCAGGGTGTGTCTGGCCCATCTCGCTCAGTCCCAATCGGCCAGACACCAGCAGCAAACTAACTTACCAGTCGGAGTGTCTGCCCCCTGGTGGTCAGTGCACGTCATAGCGAGCATTTGAGCGGCCTTAGCATATCATTAGCATATCACGCTTTGATTGGTTGAACAGACGACGTGACACTTAGCATATTAGGCTTTTATTATATAGGATTTGTGGAGAAAATTTTTACATTAAGGCTGTGTCAAAATAAAAACCGTAACTCAAAAAGATATCTGTGCCCCTTGTTCATTACAGCATTATTTACAATAGCCAAGATATGGAAACAAGCTAGGTGTCCATCCAGACAATTGGGTAAAGAAGATGTGATACATAGATACAATGGAATATTACTCAGCCATAAAGAGAATGAAATTGTGCCATTTGCAACTACATGGAGGGACCTACAGGGAATTATGCTAAATGAGATGTCAGACAAATACCACATGATCTCACTTATATGTGAAACAACAACAAAAACGCACACATTAAGCTCATAGATAGAGGACAGATTGGTAGTTGCCAGAGGGAGCGTGGGAGTGGGTGAAATGGGTCCTGCCATGGCCACTGTGTCTTTCCCAGGTTCCAGGGCTTCCGTCCCTGTTAGAGATGCATCCAGGTGCCCCCTCTCCCCCTTGGCAACATCCACACCCCCCTGCCTTTCCCCTTCTGTCCCCACATACACTGTCTGCTGCTCAAAGCTGAGCCTCCCCACTGCCTATGCAGGGGACTCCCTTTCCTCCAGCACCCTCTCCACAAACTGCGTTTTGTTCCCTGAACAGTGAACACCCCAGGCTTCCTTGTCAGAAAGAGGAATTCTTGCAGCTCAGTTCCTATGGTGCATTGTCCATGTTTCCCCTCTCAGCCCTCCTACACTACCCAACACAACTTCCCACTAAGCAGACACAGATGTGTTCTGCCACCAGCTCCACGTGGCTCTGAGCACTGGAAATATGGCCAGTGTACCTGCGGAACTGAATTTTACAGCTTATTTAAATAGAATGAAATTGAAATGGCCACACGGCTACACAGCTAGTAGCTACCGTATTGGACAGCTCAGCTTTAGAGCGTATGAATGCAAATCCTTAATGTTCTTACTTATTTACTTAATTGAGGTGAAATTCACATCATGTAAAATTCACCATTATAAAGCAAACAAAGAAGTAGCATTTTTCATACATTTATCACTCCCAAAAAAGAAACCCTGTCTCCCATAGCAGTCACTCATCCCCCTCCCCAGCCTCTGACAACCATAAACCTACTTCCTGTATCTGTGGATGTGCCTGCTCTGGACATCTCACATAAATGGAATCACAATGTGATTTTGTGTCTGGCTTCTCTGAGCATTATGTGTTCAGGGTTCATCCACATGTAGCACCTATCAGCTTTCCTCCTTTTCAGGGCTGAGTAATACTTCATTGTGAGGAGAGACTACATTGTGTGTATCCATTCATCCATTGATATTTGCACCATTTATGTTCTTTTTGTCTTTGATCATAGAATGCCTGGTCCCTGTTGATCTGATATTTGCACCATTTATGTTCTTTTTGTCTTTGATCGTGAGCTCATAGAATGCCTGGTCCCTGTTGATTTCTTTTTATACAGTGGTGTTTAGAAGGCAAAGCACTGCAGAATCACCACAACCAGTGACATTTAGGGTCCACTTTGGAAAATCACAGAATTGAAGTCATTGATTTCTAAAGCCCCAGCTTTATGCAAACAAAACACTCCTGTTTCTCTTTTGACTCTGGCGTTCATTTGATCCTTCACATTTTCAGTTTTGTGTGTCCAATAAAGCAACAGCAGGCCAGGCGGCAGTAGCTGTGGTGGTATTCTGTGTTTGTTTTCAGGCCTAAGCTCTGACAAGTCTGAATGTCCCTCTCTCCTTCCCTTTTAGAGGGTGCTGGTCCAGGCAACGGGCTCGGCTTCCAAAGGGGCCCAGATGCAGCCAATCTCCCTCCCCAGAATCCAGCAGGTGCCACAACAGGTAACCACAGCACATGTGATCTGGAGGCCTCTCTGTGTTATGTATTCTTTTCTGTCATTGCTGCTCCTTCTTTAATGTCTTCAGTTCCTTACCAGAAGGTTCTATGTTTTTTAAAGATCTTTCACTTCAAACAGTTTTGCAGCAAACCAAGACAACTGTGATCTTTCATTCATTCAGAAATTCAATGCATGAGACATAAGCCAGCCCCTTGATATAGCACTGGGTTCTGAGCTAGACATGCAAACAGATAGCAAAGGTTCTGGATTATTAGGAACACAGAACCTCCTGGGGAGGCAAACCCTTCTGCAGGCAAGTGTTATACCCTCAGACGAGAGCCATGACCAAGGAAGCGCCTCTTGTGAGATTAAATTATCTGGGAAGAAACCTCGAAAGTGTGGGCTCACTCACCAAAGAACAGCCCAGACCATCAGCTCAGTCAGTCAATGGGATGTAGGACAGTGGTCAGCAGCCCTTTTCTGGAAAAGGCCAAATAGTGCATTTTTTTTGGCTTTGCAGGCCAGGTAGTGTCTTGCACAGCCACTCAACTCTGCCTTGTCTCTAGAAGCAGCCATAGATGTAAAAAGAACGGGCAGGGCTGTGTGTCAATAAAACTTTATTTACAAAAAACAGGCAAGCCAGATCTGGCCCAAGGGCTGGCTTGTGCTCTGAAAGATGCTGAATTAAAATCTGTGCAGGGTCCTGCCTGAAAGGGAGGTACCATGAGTGAAATAGAGAGATGGCTGAGACCCCAGAGTACACGCTTCTTTCTTCAGGGGTTCCTGTTCAGATGAGCAGTGTGTGTAGGGGGAACCAGGGGAGGCTTATGGGGTCAGAGAGAAACAAAGGTTCTGAGCAGGCCCAGAAGGGAACCTTAGCTCCTCGAGGGAGGGGAGATGGAGGCTAATGTTATGATTCCAGAAGCTTCCCCCCTCTGTGGGGCTTGACCTGCACCATCACTTTCTCTCTGGGCAACTCAGACTTGTGGAGTGACTTGTGCATTTCACTCAGTCCCCTAAGGCAAAGCCCACTCAGTGTAATCCCTGGACTCCTCATGATACGCCTCTACTCCAAGAGTTGAGCGTGTATGAGTGTATCCGTGCTGGGTTGTCCTCGGAGGTGGGAATCAGCTCCACACACAGGCCTAGAGAGAGGTCACGATGGGACCCAGCCTTTAATTTTGTTACCCCAAAATGAGGTTGAATTAGGCATTGGGTAAGGTTCCCTCTGTGGTGAGATTCTGAAGTCTTCCATGCAGAGCTCTGGGCCTCTACCACCAGAGCCAGCGTCCCTTGTGGGCCATTAGCTGAGGCGCTGCACTGACAGGGACCAGGTAGGGCTGTTCTGTGGTCCTCCCATCACCCTCGGTCTACATCTCTCACTCGAGGCCCATCGCTTCTTCTAGTTCTGCTCAGACCTTCACAGTCTCTCCCCAGTGTGGCTCCAGGACCCCTGCCCTCCTGCTGGGGAGGGGCACCAGGGCCACCCTAAGGGGGCATGAGGGGGGACATGTAGACAGTGACCAGCTCGAGCCCTCTGCCCTGTCCTTGGGTGTGGATGACAGGTCCAGTGCTCAGAGGTTGGCATTCTTGTCCATACTCTGATTTCCACTGTCCAGCATTACCAACCCTTTTACCCAGTGGCTGGCAGGCCCAGGGCCCTTTCCTGGCTGTCGATTTGGCTCCTTCCCTCACGGAACAGGCACCATGGACTTGGCTTCCCTCGAGCATAGCAGTGGATCAGGACTGCCTCTCTTATTTCTTTCAAGACGTGCCAACTGTCATGCAGTACTAAATGTTAATAAAAGGCAGTCCAAGTTATTTTCAGCTTGAATGATGGAAAATCATGAACAAGTAGACTATACTGTGTGTAACACGAAATATCTGATGTTTCAGGTCCAGCCTGTACAACACGTGTACCCATCCCAAGTGCAGTACGTGGAAGGCGGAGACGCCGTCTACACGAATGGTGCCTTGTACGTGGTTTTCCCTGCCCTCGGAAGGGTCCTCACAGAGAACCTCAGGCCACGTCTGGAACCTTCCTTCACGACTCTCCCACCTTTTTCCTTTTGGGGATGTGTTTGCACAAATCCCTCCCCCTTATCCTTTGGGTGCTGTGTTGGAACCATTACTGTGGTATTAGGTCATCACAGTCCTATGGAGATTTCAGAAATCATACACTTTTGTAGTTTTTACTTCTAGAAAAGGTAGTCTTAAGAAAAACAAACCGTAACCCAAGTCTAAAGATTCAGTCTTCACAATCCAGAAGCCATTTCTATCTCTACTTTCTCCTCCTGGCCTTTGTTAACCTCTGGCTTTTTATGATGTTGATATGACTTGACTTTTTATTTGTCAGGGACTTATAGGGTTTTCTGCTTGTGAACTATGTGATTCTTGGGGCAGAAAATAACACATTTCTCGGGAAGCTCATTGGACTCAAGACATAAGTCCTTTTGCTCATTTGATTTCGACAACTCCCCTCTGAAAGTTCAGGGATCAAGCATGAGAGTGTGGTTGTGGTTAAGGCGCTGTGTGAGCTTCTACAGCACAACACTGAAGGTTCTAATACATACACAGACACATGTGAGCGTGTGTCAAACCCATGACATCTGAGTAAGGTGTGTAGATTGTACCAATGTCGAGTTCTTGGGTTCGATTGTATTACAGTTAGATATGATGTCACTGGGGGTCAGGATGGGAGTGCACGCCTCCCAGAGGTTGGGGCCACCTGCCACCTAGGGGGGCCTTCCCTCAGGACAGGTCATAGCCTTTAGTTACCACCAAAGAGAAACCATTACCAGCTGCCTTTTGCAATGGCCAGCGTTACTGGAGTGGGACTTAAAACTTTATGGGATGACATACATAGTTAGCTAAGCATTTAATCCAGATGTTAAAGTAATATTAGACAAATTCTTCATATCACTTAGAAATTTCTTTTTATTATGCAATTTCATTTTTTAACCTTTTTTGATAGAATCGTAGACTTACAGGAAGTTGCAAAATGGGAGACCCTTCACCCAGTCTCCCCCTGTGGTGACCTCTTTTTTGAGTATTACTGTAGGACAATAGCAGGAAAGTAACACTGGGACAGAACTGTTAACTAGCCCATGGGTCTTATTCCATTTCACCAGTTTTGACTCCTCTGTGTGTGTGTGTGTGTGTGTAGTTCTGTGCCATTTTTTCTTGTGTAAATTTTAAAATATATATTTTTTTATTGATTTCAGAGAGGAAGAGAGAGGGAGAGAGAGATAGAAACATCAATGATGAGAGAGAATCATTGATCGGCTGCCTCCTACACGCCCCCTACTGGGGATCGAGCCCACAACCCCCGGCATGTGCCCTTGACCGGAATCGAACCTGGGGCCCTTTAGTCCGCAGGCCGACGCTCTATCCACTGAACCAAACCAGCTGGGGCTCATGTATAAATTTCACATAACCATAATAAGACACAGAAGTGTTCTGTCTCCATGAAGTGTTCTGTTCATATGACCCCTTCATACTTAGAATTTTTAAATGATCAGTTTTTGATGAGTCCGCATGTGATCCTGAATATTTTCAGACGATTGCTTTGAACTCTGTGCTGCATAGGCGTTTGGTGTCTGACTTACCCCAAATGTTCAATCTCATCAGGCTTCCACTTTGACATGAAGTTTTGCAGGATTCCTTCCAGACTCAGAGGAGGCACATTCTCTCTTTCTGACAGGCGGACGGCCTATGCCTATAACCCCGAGCCTCCAATGTATGCTACAAGCAGTGCAGCATCTTACTTCGAGGCCCCGGGCGACGCCCAGGTGACCGTGGCAGGCTCCTCGCCGACAGCAGTCCCCTCCCACACCATGGTGGGCATCACCATGGATGTCGGGGGGAGCCCCATTATCTCCAGCACAGGAGCCTATCTCATCCACGGGGGGATGGACAGCACCAGACACTCGCTGGCCCACACTTCCCGGTCGTCTCCAGCAACGGTATGTACAAGGCTCTCGGGCAACAGGTTAGACCCTGGATAGACTAGCAGTAGAAGTAGGGATGGTGAGTGGAAGGCAGCTGGAACCCTGGAAGGGAGCCCTGCCAGCCCCAGCCAGGCCCTGTAACCCAAGGCAAGTCTCAGCATCTTTGAACCTCAGTTCCTCCACTGGTTTAAAAAAAACACACAAAAACGTTAATCTTCCATCATGGGCTATTATGAACACTGCATATTTGTAAAAAGAACTCCATACTGGTATGTGCTGCCGCTGATGTCATCATTATTATCAGCCTCTGAGAGGCTGAGGTCAGTCCACCCATATGAAACTAGACTGAATAAACAAGAGGAAATTTCTCTTAGGAGCTATGCCGAATTGCTCCCGCCATGCTCCTGTCCAAAACAACATCTGCTTTAAAAACTTACCTTTCAAAACTCTAGTTTCCGTATTTACTTTTACTTTGTAAATAAATACAGAGCTGTGTGACTTTCCTGTGTGTACAGCCCTGAGTTTTGACACACATGCACGTTTGTGTAACAACTGCCGCAGCCAGGATCCTGATGGTTGGTCTCCCCTAAACTCCCTCCTGGTATTTGCAGTCATGACCTCCCCTCACCCACAACCCCTGGCACCCACTGACCCTTTCTCCATCACTAGAGGTTTGTTTTTCCGGGACTGTTGTATGAACAGAATCATTCAGTAATGACCTTCTGAGTTCCGCTTCTTTAACTCAGCGTGGCGTCTTTGAGATCCAGTCAGGTTGTTGCATGAGCCAGTAATTCTTCCTCCTTCATAACGGAGTAGTATTCCTACCTATCCATTCACCAGTTGAGGGCAGTTTGGGAGATTTCCAGTTTTGGGCGATTATGAATAATGCAGCTATCAGTCCTCAACGACAGGTTTTTGTATGGACATATGTTTTCCTTTCTTTTGAGTAAATAGCTACGAGAGGATTGCTGGTTGATACGGTAAGTGTGTATTTAACTTTATCAGAGATCACCAACAGTTTCTTCAAGTGGTTGTACCATTTCACATTTCCCCCAGCGATGTGTAAGAGCGCCTGTTGCTCCACTCCTCGCCAGCACTCCTTGTTGTCAGCATTTTTTCATTTTAGCCATTCTAATAGGTGTGTAGTGGTATCTCATTGTGGTTGTAACTTGCATTTTCTTAATTGCTAATGATGGTAAGCAGCTTTTCACGTGCTCATTTGCCTTGTATATGCTTTTGGTGATGTGTCAGTTCCAGTCATTTGCCTATTTTTTAAACTGGATTGTTAGTTTTCTTATTGTTAAGTTTTGAAAATTCTTTGTGTTCTTTATAAGTCCTCTGTCAGATAAGCAATTTGCAAATATTCTCTCCCAGTTTTTATAGTGTCTTTTCATTCTGTTACAAGTGTCATTTGCAGAAAAAAATAATTTTTTTAAAATAAAGTCTTATTTATTAATTTTTCTTTTTTTAAAAGATCACACTTTTGATGCCATACCTGAGAACTCTTTGCCTATCCCCAGGTCATAAAAATTTCCTCCTATTTTCTTTGAAAAGTTTTATAGTTGTACATTTTGTAGTTGGATCTGCTTCATTTGGGTTAACTTTTGTATAAGATGTAAGGTTTAGGTCGAGGTTTACTTTTATGCATATGAAACCACCAGTGGTTCCAGCATCATTTGCTGAAATGACTGTCCTTCTTCCATTGGATCACTTTTGCGTCTTTGTCAAAAATCAATTGGTCGTGTGTGGATCTGTTTCAGGACATTCTGTTCTGTTTCATTGATCTATGTGCCTGTTCTTAATTACTACAGCTTTATAGTGAGTGATTCCTCCAACTTTATTTTTCTTTGGTATTGTGTAAGCTATTTATATAAATTTAGAATTTTCTATATCTATAAAAAATTCCTGGTAAGGTTTTGATTAAACAGCATTAAACCTGTATGTCAGTTTGGGGGAGAATTGAGTTGGGTCTTCAGTCCATGAACATGGTATGCTTTCCCATTTACTTAGGTCTTCTTTTATTTCTTCCATCAGCATTTTGTAATTTTTAATGTGCAGATCCTGTACACATTCTATTAGGCTTATACTTAAGTATGTCATGTTTTTGGAGCTATTGTAAGTGGTATTAGTCTTTATTTTATTTTTTAAAATTATTTTTTAAACCAAGCGCTGGCCAGTTTTATTAAAGAAAAATCTTGCATGATTTACTTTTCACTAATATGTTTTGGCATGCTTTTTATGATACCAGAATCACCTAAATCAATGATAGCCAGTGTGCATACTCTAGTATTTCCACATGCTGTGCCCAATTCAGCATTACTGCCACTGTAGTGATGGACACCATGACATAGTCCTCTATTTCAGATTTCCTCAAGGCTGAACAGTTGTTGGTGAGGATGACCAGTTTCACTTTGCCTGATCATCTTCAGGGTCTGTTTGTACCCTAGCATGTACTTTTCACTTTGAGTAACAAATTGGAGCCTAGAGTTGATCGACTCCAACAACTTTCACTGTCTTTGCAGCCACCATCTTCTTGCCTTACGTGCAGACAGCGCCCAACCTAGAACATACAGAGCAGTGGTATTGATTTTTTAATTCAGTTTCTAACTGTTCATTGTTAGTATGTGAAAATACGGTTGATTTTTGACTGTTGTCCTGCAACCTTGTAGAACTCACTTTTTAGTTCTAAGAGTTTTTTGTTGTCTGCAAATAGGAGCAATTTTACTTCCTCCTTTTCAATCTGGGTAACATTTTTTTTATTGCCTTTTTTTGCTGGCTAGAACTCTACTATGTTGAATAGGAGCAGTGAGTGGACATCTTTTCCTTGTTCCCAGTCTTGGGGGGAAATCTTTTCATCTTTTACTGCTAAGTATGATGTTAATTGTAGGTTTTCATAAATGCCCTATTTCGGGTTGAGGAAGTTACCTTCTATTCTTAGTTTTCAGAGAGTTTTTGGATGTTGAGTTCTGTCAAATGCTTTTTCTTCATTGATCATGAGGTTGTATTTTTTTTGTTTGTTGTTGTTTTTTAAAATATATTTTATTGATTTTTTACAGAGAGGAAGGGAGAGGGATAGAGAGTTAGAAACATCGATGAGAGAGAAACATCGATCAGCTGCCTCCTGCACATCTCCCACTGGGGATGTGCCCGCAACCAAGGTACATGCCCTTGACCGGAATCGAACCTGGGACCCTTCAGTCCGCAGGCCAACGCTCTATCCACTGAGCCAAACTGGTCAGGGCATGAGGTTGTTTTTTTCTTTAGACTGTTAATATGATAGATTACACTGATGGATTTTCAATTAGAAAAATCTTCCTATTTTGGTAATGGGCTAATCTGAAATAGAAGGTAATGTTTTAGCCTCATCCCTGTTCTTTTCAGGCTGTTTTGGCATCACCCCGACATCAGAGCGGCTTGCTGTCCTCTCTCTTTCTCTGTGTAGACTGCTCCCCAGAACCTGGCTTGGAGGACAGGCGTAGAGAGAAGTCACTTGGTTTCTAGAAGCTGTGATGTGTGGGGCAGTGTCCACTGCTCAATCCGAGAGGCCCTAGCTTCCACCTCACCTCTCTGTTTTTCCAGCTGTCAGCTCAGCAGGGGCTGGGAGGACACAGGGTGCCAGACACGCTTCTCCCTTAGAGGACTGGCTAGATGGACTCAAGATTAGAGCTGCTAGTGATCAGAAAGTGCTCCTCGCATGCCATGTTAACTTTCATGGATATGGCAGGCTCAGTTTTATCAGACTGCACCAATTTATAGTAGTAGAATATACTATAATTATAGGAAACAAGTTTACTGAGAAACAGCAGCATTCTCTCTGATCCACACCCTCTTGGTTGCAAGCAGATGTGCAGCTCAGACTTGGAGCACCAGCTACTGTGGTTTGTTGTTTGGGTTGCCTTTAAGGAATCAAGTTTTTAAATCAATTGGAAATCCATGAATGGACTGTGTTTTAACACACATCCCCATGAAAGCCCCTAGGAAGTGATAATTTCAAATGAGAATCTGATCCCTGACTCTGCCTTCTCTGTGTTATTTATCGGCTTGGTTTTGGCATGGGAACATCTCACAAGGATGCAGCTTGTGAGAGCTGAGGGACTTTCTGGGAGCCATGAACAGAAATGGCCCTGGGGCTTGCAACAGAAATAAAATATGGCTCCTGCCCTGGCTGGCGTGGATCAGTGGTTAGAGCATCAGCCAGGGCCAGGAGCCATAGGATTGTGGTTCTGACTAATGCTCTAACCTGAGATCCTCATACAGATAGAGGGTTGTATCTCGGTTGCAGGATCCCTACCCCAGTCAGGGCGAGTGCAGGAGGCAACCAGTTGATGTGTCTCTCACATCAATGTTTCTCTCTCTCCTTTCTCTCCCTCTCTCTCTCTCTCTCTCTCTCTCTCTTTTTCCTCTCCCACTCCTTCCACTCTCTCTGAAAAATCAATGGAAAAAATATCCTCAGGTAAGGATTAACAAAACAAACAAACAAAAAATACGGCTCCTGTATCCGTCCTTTCACATCTGCCAATTCTTTCATGTTAGAGTTATGGGATTTTAAGTTAATCCTGAAAAGGGAGCGTGAAGATCAGAGCAAATCACCTCCTACACACTCAATAAGTGATTTCAAACTTTTGGTGACAAATTGTCTTGAGTCTTTATTTCTGGTTAAATTTTCTTTTTTTTTTAATATCAGAGAAGAAGGGAGAGGGAGAGAGAGAGAACCATCAATGATGAGAGAGAATCATTGATCAGCTGCCTTCTGCACGCCTCCTACTGGGGATCAAGCCCACAACCCAGGCATGTGCCCTGATTGGGAATTGAACTGTGACCTCCTGTTTCATAGGTCAATGCTCAACCACTGAGCCACACCCGCTGGGCTAAATTTTCATCAGTGTTATAAATCTTTTACTAGTAAAATACATTTTATGAGTTTATTTGAGCCAACCAGATGACATGCCAGGAAGCAAGATCTCAAATGCTCCCAGTATTATAAATCTTAAGAGTGATTTGCCCAAATGGTGAGT